TTGCACTCCAATGATTTCACTCCCGATCACAATGGAAGGAAATTATTTGCAACAACATAATTGCCAAATTTTGTGAGTTTACATATGAATTTCACCATATTTAATAGCCATCTTTTCCCTCTCTTAAGCGCAAGACAAAATTATGGGAATTGTGTAAAATCATTCTGAGAATATACATATTTATACCTTTCTAACTCATTCTGAGAAACTGACACATCGAACTTCCATATATGAGCTATTATCATTTCCACATGAAAAAAATAAAATAAATTCTGTCTACTAATTAAATGATCCACGTGTAGAATAAAACAAATGGAGAGCACAACCTAAAACTAGGTGAAAGATTATTGAAAATGGCCATATAATTTGGTTAGGAAGTTGACAAAATCAAATAAACATCACTTAGTACACAAGCAGTTTTATCATATATGTAAAACAAAATACTGTTTTGCATTCGATATACAAAAATGGAAATTACAGACATCCAATAAGGTTGGAACTTATAATTTATAAGCATTGCACAAGGATCATACTTTTAAGACTAGAGTACTTGGAATTTCAGCTGTGTTTACCTGTGCAGAATAATGCTATACAAAAATTTGTGGCTATGGCTTAGGGAGACTGCCTTAGGAAAAGAATAATTATATGTTGAGAAAAATACACACTAGTCAACAATTTTATCATACGGTTGTCCATCTCAAAGCAGGGATTCCATTCTTTTGAAACCATTCTGGCATATGGAATCTTTCATACAGAATAGGTCTTACGTCCTTTTGCTGAGAAAGATGCTTGAGAAGTGGAAGGATGACTTCCAAAAGCTGAGTGGGGCACATAGAGGAACAATTGAGTTATTAGAGAGGACAGATAGAGTACGAAGCACTTATAATTTTCTCAAGTTATTCCAGGTACCTGTTCGTCGCATGGTTGTCCAGCAGAAAATGGAATGCATGGAATTCCATTCAATGGTTGCAACAAGAAGCTGAATGGGTTGTTATCAACAATAACAACTCGGCTTAGATTCTTTGATATGCATGAAAGGTCTTTCACATGTTCACGATATTCACTGCAAGTTATAAATAGATGAACATAGTGAGTTCACAGTACAGAAAGCGCAGCATGATAGAATATGCATCACAAAACAGTTTAGTGACCAGTTTCTGAAATTATTTTTTATTGACCAGCCATCACTAAATTTTGATGGAAGAAAAAGAAGAAAATACAAATCATAAACTATGCGATTAGTGCAGAAAAAAGGCACAAAAACTACAGTTCTATTTAAATCCTCATGAAAGGAAAGGAATAGCAAAATAAACCCATGCACTAAGAAACCACAGGAAAATAGTACTCAACACTTTGTTGAAGGCTTAAAGATAGTGTAGGATCCTCAGAATTTGGCAAGTGCGCTGCAGATCAGATATAAAAAACACAGGGTTGGAGTTTTTTCTTTGCTTTCTAATTATGAAGCATTCGTGCATTTTAACCTTTCTAATAAGTGCATCCTTGAGTAGGAGTGGGTGAAGTGCACCCTCTGAAAATTTCAATGGATGTAGAAAAACGCGCCATGTGGAGTGGTCAATTTTGTTATGTTGCAATGTCTATCAGGAAAACTCAAACCACCGCCACAAAGTAGGGGTAGCAAAAGGGCCAAGCCGTTTGCTGTATAGGCTCATCTTGGCTTGAACCACGGGCAGCTTGAGCTCATTTTAAGACAAGCCATGGATTGAGCCAAGTTCACTTTTGTTTACATGAGCCTAGTGGGCTCGGTTTGTGAGGCACACGAATCAGCTTGAGGGTTGGCTCATTTATTTTTTACTTACTTTATTATTTAAAAAAAAAAAAAAAAAGGATTAAGCCATCTCACGGACGAGCCCATGGGCCGAATCGAGTTCTTATTCTAGATACAAGTCGAGCTTGAATATTTAAAGGTCGAGCCGGCTTGGTTCGATCTATTTGGAAAATGGGCCAAGCCATTTGAGGGCTCCGCTCATCCTTACTCGATCCATGAACAGCACAAGCTAGTTTTGAAATGAATCAATAGACAGAGTCGAGATCACATTTTTTTCACGAGCCAGCTTGCTTGGGCTCGTTGGTACAATCCTGCAAGCTGACTCGTTTGGGGGGCCAACTCTTTTTTTTCTCTTTGGACTTGTTTTATTTAAAAAAATAATAATAATAAATAAAATAAAATAAAATTGAGCCTACTCATGGGCGGTTCAACTCAACCAATGAGGCCCATAAGCCAAAGGGCCAACCGGATCTTAGGATTTGGACACAATCCAAGCCAAGCTTGGGTGTCTACGGGCCAAACAGGCTGTGCTCGACCCATCGCAACCCCTATATTCACATACCAGTGCATCAGTGTTTTGTAGAACTGTACTCTTTTACAAATATTTTGTTGACAAAAGTTAAACTAGGTAAATTATGTTAATTTGATTCCTCTTACAAGTGGTAAAATATTTTAGTTAATTCGAAATTAGTGGTCTTGAGAAAAATGTTCACTTTTAAATTTATTTATCTAAAATATTATTTTATATGGCTTGGATCCGTGAATCATTTTTGAATTCCACCATTGAAAAGAAAAGGCAGATAAAATTCCTAATTACAGACAAATAAAATTCTTCAACCCCAAACAACTGCTACCCTGTTCACCACCAAAACCAGTCATCACATCCCCTAGTAATTGAAAATTTTAACAGGACTTCCCTACAACTTAATATCCAGTTGATTAAATTAAGTTAAAATATCTTGTTGTATTGCTTCTATAGTGATCCAATGGTTGTCAATTCTTGGTGATTCTGATGTTAGGTGGACAGCAGAAGTAGGGATTTGTGATTTTGGTGGCAGTGGAAGAGTTAACGAATGTGTTTTCCATTTTATGGCTAATATGATTGCTGCTGTTATGAGATGAAATA